TGCATTTTCAGCAAAACCAAACGTACTGAAGTTAAGGGAAACCATCTCTTTTCTTCAATTTAAATGTAGGCCTGATTCTGACTCACCCAGTTTTATCAATCAAGTAAGAAGTATCAAGGCAGCAAAAGTCTCATTTCAACTTAATAATAATTAAAAAAAGACAGTAACAGCTACATCAAATGTAGGAAACTAGACTTATACATATGAAACTGAAATTTTGGATGTGCAGAGTAAGTAGTAAATCAGAGTCACGTTGCCCAGTGTAAACATGTATTTCTTTATACAAAAGCAAGTAATACCTGTTATTTCTCAGTCAACTGAATTAAAAGTCTTTCTTAACACTTGCTTCTCAGAATTATGAAGCATTTTCTCTGTAATAACATTTTTTGGTTGTCTCTGGTCTTATTCTCAGAAGAATCCAGCATATTTACATCCATAATAAGGTTTTTCCTCTTAAGAGGCTTTCCCCCAAACCACTTCTGTAATTGTACATATCCTCAACAGTATGTACACATTCAATAGCAAAGAAATTATAAACACTATACAGCAGCCAGAATGGATTACATTTTGAAACATACAGAATAAATTAGAGAAATTTTGAGTCTTATCCAGTAAAGCTTTCCTCTTAGGAAACCCATGTGTGAATGAGGACCATAAAACTATTTTATTACCGCGAAATGACAGACAGAAAAAAAGGTTTTGTTTTTCTTACCTCTTTAAATAAAAACAATTTTAATAAACCAAAGCAGAGAGAGAGATTTTTACTTATGGAAACAAAGTAGTAGTTGTAAGCTGTACTAGAAAAGGAAACTTTTTCCTGATTTACTTTTGTTTTAGTTACAGACACTCCGTTCTGCTATACTCTGTGACTACAGATTGTACAAGCTACACAAAGTATTCTGCATTAATAACCATGCTTCATTTATAACATTATAAAAAAAAATATTGTCATCTTCAGTAGGTACTATCTTCTCTCAAATACTTTCTGATACTTTTTAAGTGAAATTATTATAGAAACATCCAGTTACTTATAAGATTCAGCCTGACAGGCCATACACTTAAGCCTCTATATTGAATGCATATTCTACATAGTTAATAGTGTTATTCAGATACAGTCCCCTGAAGAGATTTGGGTAATGCATCAATAAGCATAATTTCTAACTGTGGGTTAGGATTGCTCTTACTAATTTTTCTCCTCCGAGTATGAAATGCAAATTTTGAAAAGTAGAATTTGCATCTTAACTTGACTTGCATATTATCTCTGCTTTGCACCTTAGGAAATTGCCGGATATTAAGTTACACTTAAAGCTTCACCAATACCACCACAGTTTACTGGAATCAGAATAATTTTATTTTACTTCCTGACTCAATCATGTTTTGAACTGTAAGAACCATCCTTTGTCACATTTTAAAGATGTGTAAATTGGAAGCCACGGTTTAACTGTTATCAACTATAAGTAACATCTGTCTGCCTAAAGAAGCATTTCCTTTCATTGGATATCTCAGATTTGAAAAACAACCTGCTGGATAAACCTGAACCTCGGCAGCCCACCGACCAACTACTTATTCTGAATCACCACTTTAACCTAAAGAACATTTTTATCTCAGCAAATAATTAAACCGTTCATTTAACAAACCTTGTTCCACAAATCCTAGTTCAGTTCTTTGCTGATCTCATGTCTATACTACTTTCACTAAGCTTAATATTATCCAAAGCACATTTCCAAGTTTCATTTAAAATGTTGATTTAGTCCTTGAATAAATTGTTACAGTAATACTAGATGTCTATATAGGTAAATACAATTCAACTCCTCTTCCTGCCACTGCACCCGCACATAAAGCATGAGAAAGGCAGCACAACTTTTGCTCTAATTTCTATGTTAAACAGATTTTTATTTACATTCTTCTCAGTATTCTTGGTCAAATCTAAGAATATATTTTCATTCCAAAGGGCTAGAGAATTGCTACATAACTAGCCTCAACATCCATAAATCTAAAATATTTGCAGAAATAGAATTCTTTCATTTTTCATTACTCACTGTTTACTTTAGATGCTCTTAACTTTAAGCATAAATGGTACTTTCTTATCATACTTTAAAACCTTAGGAGAAATATATAAAAGTCAAGATAGAATTCCTAGTATGTGACAACAACAATGACTGTGTTTTAAAACACTGTATTTTCAAAAAGAAAAAAAAGCGAAAAAGAAAAACTTGGATGGTCTTCTTCAGAGAAGATGTATTTTTTCTTCTGATTTAGGATCTTGTATCAACCGACTTATGATGCACCAACATAAAGACAGCATTATGCTTGTGATGTTTGGTTTGTAACTGCCCTTTCACTGCCTGGCAAACATGAGACAAGCACTGATGTTGTCAGCAAAGCTTGAAAATGGAAAATAGTTCCAAATAAGCGTTAGTTTGTTAAAGCAAGAACTGTGGAATATGATTTTATGTGATAGCACCTTAAAGTATTTACATTATGAGTAAAGAATCAAATCTTTCTGCAGGTCTGTGCAGGAGAGAGAGCTCAGAAATAAGGATTCATTCGTGCATTTGCAAATGCGATCACAATCTGTCATTTGATCCTCCTGCCAAACAGAAAAGCAAGACGTGCTTTCAAGGGCTGTACATCTTCCATATTTGTGATGGAGCATTTCCAAAGGTGAAGGAATTTAGAGGTTAACTTCCTCCGCGCCGCCCCAGCAGGCTGGGGTGGTTTGCTTGGATTAGTAATTTTTTGTAGGTGACACAATACTGGAAAACATTTTGGGCAGGACCTCAATGTACCATCAGCTTAAGATAAAGTCTTTCACACCATGTAGGATCTAGCCTTCCGCCAGTACAGATTACTGAAGAGGCTTCATAAAAAGAAACACCTGTATTTGTGAACTGCATTATGATAGTAATTCTACATCTCCCTACTTCTGACAGGCTGTCGAGAAGTGAAAATTATTAACCAAGCAAATTGACTGAAAGCTTGATTAGCAGCTGGAAAAAGACTCAAGATGAAGTTCAAAACCCAAGAGCTACGCAGGGTACTGAGGAAAATAATCAACAAAATGGAAATTATTACAGTTCGGCTTTTGTACTGTTCCATGTAAATGGGGAGATTAATATCTTCCTACATGATTAAAGAATTAGCAGTCCCACTGTATTTATAACTAAAGAAATGATTAAAAAACATATTCCAGTATTGATTCCAATCACATTTGATTACTGAAGTCACCACGGGATCATAGAGACACATGGATCTTTCATTGTCAGGTAAACCTTCACAGTACTGAAAGGCAGGTCACACGTCAAGCAAAGCTGTGACCTGTAGTGCAAGGCTGTTGCCTACAATACACTTCATAAATAGTTAATGCAAAAAAGAAAAACAGGGATAGAGACTGATAGAATGGATGCTCCATATGGTAAACCTTAAAATACGACTCATTGTGTTATAGCCAAAAAGAGTCACTCTTCGCGTTCAGCCCTGACTTGATTCTGTAGAATCTGCATATTAGAAATGCACAGTATGAAAAACATTAGGTTGCTCTGTTTTTTTCTAAAATTTGCCTTACTTAAAGGAATTAAAACAAAAATATCAGTATCCTCTTAGACCTTTCCCTACACATGGGATTCAGATATTCATACACTGAGGGTTACTCTGCCTAAGGCCTCTCTATTCTCCTTTGCAATCATTTGCCTCCATAGGCTTTCCTTCCACAGTCAGTACTAAAAAGAGTGAAACTGTATTTCAGGTAAATACAGCCATACTCTCAAAATCAAACTGACTACATACAAGGGGGAAAAGGCATTGTTCATTGTAATCTACTAGACTCTAAAAGATCAGAAGAGGAGAATTTGATATTTTTCTAGACCATTCTAAAAAAATACAAAGCTTTTTGCTAATGAAACAGGGTTGTAAGTTTAAACATTCCTAGCTGGCATCAAGCCACAACCTTCTATGTCAAATTAAGATAATTCTCTTGTTGATTTAAGCAGAAATCTTTGCTAATCATAGGAAATGTCTTTGTAGTCTACTTGTGTCTATGCCTGTTTAAACAGTTTATTATCCATTGGACATTACAGGTTAAAACAGAAAATAAGATTTTTCAAATCTAACTTACCACAGATCTTAAAAAAAATCAGTTTTTTAAGAAAATGCCACCAATCATAGTGCAACTCTGAGATAACTCCATGCATAACTGAGCACCTCCCAGATCATGTGAAAATATTTCCAAAAGTCGAGAGCGACATAAGAAAAAGACTTCTACTAAGTGTTACAAATTTGGACCCCCTTGTATTTAAGAATGGATTCTTTTTCCTCCCCAATGATCTTATTTGCAAAAGAAATCTACTGTGGTCTATTAAAACTGGTATTGTGAATTAATTCCCACTGACATTACAGAGACAGGTTCACAGGACAGTGAGGTTGGAAGAGGTTGCCCAGCCCAACCTCTCTCCTCAACCAGGGCAGGTTGTCCAGGACCATGCCCAGTCAGCTTTTGAAGATTTCCACAAATGGAGACTCCACAACATCTCTGGGCAACCTGTTCTTGTGTTTGACCACCGTTACCATGAAAAAAGACACTCATAATGCCACTACTTTCTGTCACACTACTTGGCTGAAATGACACAACTTACTGTCTTATGTTGAGGCTTGCTATAAACGCATTTTTCTTTTCCTGCAGGGTTATACAGTAACATATAGAACACCATTTTAGTAGGCTTCCATCTATATGCTTAAAGTTATCCAAGTGAATTCAAGAGAAGAATTTTACAATGTCATTTTAGAGGTGTATTAAAATCAATAAGTCATTGGCCCTGACAATTTAATCATTCACATCTATTCAAAGTTGGGTAAGATTACTGTAAATGACTATACAGAATGCAACACAACATTACTCTGTCTGAAATATGAAACTGCACAAGAAAACACAAAAAACCCCAAACCACAAATCCTCTGACATCTGCAGATAAAAAAACATTTCAATACATTTGAAAGCGGCTTACTTTTCCTTGGCTGGCAGTTCTGTCTCATAAGTAGCCATCTTAGCTCCTGTCCCAGCAGGCATTGCTGTTCTTTGTCTTCGCTTTCTTCTTGGAGCAGCATCAATGACATCTGGACTACCCAGAAGGGAATCCTTTCGTTCTGGTGCTGCCAAAACGAAAAATACCAAAGTTGAAAAGAACTTGAAGTACTAAAGACAATTCTTAAACTGTTTTCTTGTTTATTATTAAATCTCTATACTGCTAAGATGGGCTCAGTTTCGACAGCAGTTGGTGTCAAAACAAACAGATGATATAAAAGGAAATTCAAAAAGATAAAATTTAAACTAGAAAGATAAGCTTCCCTCAAAATCTTTTTGTAGTCAGAGGAGAGAAAAATGGGCCGCTATAAACCAGAAATATACTGATGGTCTCCTCATTCCTCCTTGTAGACTTTACAGCAACTAGAGAGGTGGCCTATAGAGTCCAGTTTCACCTACCTAGTACCAGTTCCACCTACCCAGTTAGTCTTTGTCTCCTACAGAATCATAGACTGGTTTGGGTTGGAAGGGACCTTAAAGATCACCAAGTTCCAACCCCCCTGCCCTGGGCAGGGACACCTCTCACCAGACCAGGTTGCTCAAAGCCCCATCCAGCCTGGCCTTGAACCCCTCCAGGGATGGGGCAGCCACAGCTTCTCTGGGCAACGTGTTCCAGGGCCTCACCACCCTCACAGCAAAGAATTTCTTTCTGATATCTAACCTAAATCTACTCTCTTTCAGTTTAAAACTGTTCTCCCTCATCCTATCACTCCACTCCCTGATTAAGGGTCCCTCCCCATCTCTCCTGTAGCCCCTTTAGGTACTGGAAGGGGCTATAAGGTCTCCCCAGAGCCTTCTCTTCTCCAGGCTGAACAACCTCAAGTCTCTCAGCCTGTCTTCATAGCAGAGGTGATCTAGCCCTCTGAGCATCTTTGTGGCCCTTCTGAATAAGAATATTTGAGAAAGAAGTGCATGTGTCACAGGGAAAGGAGCTTGAATGTTCTGCTCACTACATGGCTTTGTTCCAACTCTTGCTCTGCAGTATGGACAGCAATACGCACCCAGAACCAAAAAAAAAATTAAATCATTTTCAACGTTCATTAGGGTATACCCTTGAGAGAAGCTTATTGCTGTGACCAAGCACTGTATTTTGTAATGTACTAGTCATTCTGCTACCGTGGGCCTCCAGGCAGCAAACCCTTACATGTTCTGCTGGAGACTCGCTGAGGACAGTGGGCAGAAAGACTGATGGACAGCCTGATGTCTGTTCAGCGAGGCAAGACATCATCCATCTAGAGCAAACCCATGCATAAAAAGCAGTAACACCAGGTTAGTGCTCTACCTGTGGAACAGGTGTCCCTGGTTCAGAATAACCCCTCAAAGTGACAGGCAGCAACCTTCCCAACACCCTGCAACCCAAAACTGGACAACCCGTCTGGGTTTCCACGGAGTCCTCCACTGAAGGTTAGTAAAGTAGCTCTGTCCAGGTTCATTTACCTATCGTTTTAATTTCCACCATTCCTGAACAAGCTATAATTTCACACCTGGTTCACATTTATATTATCATGTAAATTCATTAAAAAAATGAACTATCTACACTTAAAAACCAATCCCCTCTCTGCTTTGACAGTTATCTGCTTGAAGCTAAAAACGTCAAGACAACTGGATCCTTCCTTAAGCTAAAGCCCTCCCTCCCCTTGCTATTAATGCACTCAGAAGATATACAGACATTTTTATTCCAGTTATCAACATCCTGTAGTGTGCTTTTATTTGGTACGCCTGCTTTAAAAATAAAATCTTTAATTACTTCTAATTTTCAAAATAATGATATCCAGACCAGCACACGTTTCAACTGAAATATATTAAATAACAATGTGGTGACTGAGGCTGATGCTATTACGGTAACTTCCCTGATTATTACTTTCTGCGTGTTTTAGGAAGGTTTAATCTTCACATGGATGAAAGACACCATAATTTGAGATTCAATACTGAAGGTTTTTCATAGAAAGTAAATAATGGGTCCTATTTCTTCATTCCTTTCCCAGTTGTTATACCCGTCTACTGAAAATGAAACAAGAAGAAAATATGCAACCCACAAGCAACATTTTCACTGTTTCTCAAAAAAATGTGTTTCTGACCAAGAACACTGCTAAATTAAACATGTAAATAGAGGCTCCCTAGAGACTGTGCAACCACTGCTGACAATGAAGCATATGCTTAAATATCAGAACCTCTTAGTTTTACCAGCGTGCACTAAACTACACCACAGACTTACAGATCTTTGTAGGGTGACAACAGGCACTGGCCAACATATTTCCAAGGCATGAGCTAATTAACAAATTTTGAAGTCCAGTACAAACAAGACAGTTGCCTATAATAAGTGCTGAAAAGGGTTAAATTACGGCCTAATTCTCCACACTAAACTTTAACTAGCTATGAATACTTTTCCAGTGCCAAATGTTGAAAATATGTTCACAATTGTTCATTACTATTTACTGACAAGATGTTCAGGGTAGTACATCTAACATTTACACTAATACTATTTTACATATATTCCACCATCACTTCCTAAAGCAGAGTCCTTCTTAATTAATACACATAAGATAGTTTACTGCCAAGAACCAAACAAACCTGAATAACTTTACTATCATAGCTCTTATCCTTCCTTGTTGCTGTTCTCCTCCCACACTCTCTGCTTTAGCCAAAAAGTAGATCCAGAGGTTAACTACATATACAAAACCTACACAACGCTGATGTTAAATAAATGATGTCCCAGTGCTTTGACTCGTGTAATATCCAACGTTGCTCATGGTCCCCATGCTCAGCATTGTTTACCATTCAGACACAAATCCTGTTTGTCTTCTACAACAGTCCCACTGGCGCTTGAGCGGGGAAAAAACGGAAGAGAAATGTTCACCTTTGCAACAAATTGCATTTGTGCTAACGTCAGGCTGGGAAAGGGTCTCAGTTTTTTGCTAAACATCTCAATCTAATCCTTCCCGTGGAAACAAATTTTGCTCTTATGACCTATTAAAACCAAGCAGAATAAAAAATATTGACCTAAACGATTCAAGTAAATCTCTGCAATAAAGTTCACAATTTCTATTGCAAGAATATTTTAATAATGCCAAGAAGGCAGCTTCTCATTCAGACAGCCTAGAATGCAATCTTACAAATAGCAGTAGACTGGCCACAGACAATGGTTGATCACTACAGGCTTGGGTTTTTTTTTTTTTTATTTTGCTTATTTGTTTCTTTTAAGCCAAACTACCTCTTATGGTAGAACTGCTAATGAAAAGATGGCAGACTTGAATCTCAAAGTACCATTCATCACCAAAAGACTTTAAACATACACCCTCGAATGCTGCCCAAAAATAATTCCCATTAATGAATTCATTTATAGTAAAAGCCAAAGAAAGCTTCAGCAAAATATTATTCATTGCCGGACACAAAATCATTTGGAAAAACGAGTCTTGAACATAAACCTAATTTTTTTATTCTGAAAGCTTCTTCTGTCTAAAGTTCATCACCATTTTGAGGAAGTAAAGTTCCTTGACTTCTCATGAAATTAAATTTCTTGCTTTGATATTACATAACATGATATTAAATACAGACAAGAGCATTGCTTGATGAAAGCCAGTTAATTAAACCACCTAAAACAACAAATGTTGATCAAGAAAAGGAAATGTTCCCAACAGATAATAAACCTTCTGGAGATGAATAATGGCAAGACACAAGATAGATAAGGGAAAGGGAATCATAGTTCAAGTTCTAAAGAATATTTGTGCCAAGAAGATTAAAGACCTTAAATAAAAACTCCTGTTGTATGTTTTCATTGTTTGTTTTGAAGACTGATATCTGGTGTGCCGAGGGAGTTTTCAAATAAGAAAGGATATTTTAGAAAATAATTTAAACTGAAAACTCAAAATAGCTTTCCCTGGTTTGGAAGAGTCTGGATGAAATTAAATCACTGCAGCCTCATAATGGTGGGGGCGCAGAAATGCAGTAGGTGCCTCTAATACAGAGAAAAGCCAGCACCCATTCTCAAAATGTTTGGTACACAACACCTTTCACCCGTGTAGCACAGCACTGCCTCTTCCAAGCTCTGGGCCAGACAGACCCTGCCAGGGAACTGCTGGGCTGAGCTGGGAGAGAGCAAAATCACTGCAGGGAAAGAGCCAGCAACTCAAGGGGATGGACAACTTCGCTCAGCTGCCAGCATCGAGGTCGGATCTCATTATTCCACTAACACAGCATCACGATCTCTGAAAACTACAGGCATTTTAAAATTAATTTCTGTAGCACGCTTAAAGATAGGCGGTCCAGTCACATTTTGAAATAGACTTCTGCATTACTTTATTTTGATATACAGAGATAAATTGTTTAAAAAGAAATACCTTCTAATCTAGAATATTAACTTTTCAGTCTGACAAAAAAAAATACCCACCCACCTTCATTCTCTGTATATCAACACTTTTAATGAAAATTCTACAGCTTTGACTTGTCTAATTAGTAACGACAGTGCTGTATTCACTGAGAAAACAGAATCCAGCTACTCTCTACACAAGCTCTGTTCTCAATAAATGACTAAAACCAGTACTAAATGCTTAGCTTTGCCATAAAAAATAGACAGGGAAGCAAAAAATGAGTAGACGTGTTCCAAATTTGAGCAATCTCTTTACCTACAATGACCTAACTTGACACAGATAGAAAACATACTCTCAGTGTCCAAAACTACGGCAAGGAAGAAAAAAAGTTCATGAGATTTTACATATAGGAAACAGTCACAGACATAACTTTTCTTCACCTTGATAGACTAAATTTAAGATGTAACAAAGGATCCCCAAACTTGATCACTTCTACTTAATTCATTCCTATCACCCAAAACGCTAGAGGTGCTACATTTGCTTAGCTAAACTGTCCTGTGTAGGTCCATATGAATCTAATAGTATTTTGGAAAGGATCCATTGATGACTTGTAATATAAAATGGGTGAAAGCAGAACCCGGACCTTGCTATTTATATTTTAAAGACTACCTCAGTGTTCTCATTTGCTTATATTTCTATGCAATTGGTAACTAGCTTCAAGTGTATCACATTTTTTGTCATCGTAAATATTGGTAATTTGT